GTATGAGCAGTAGAGAAAGGACGCGGAGCGTCCTGCCAACAAAACTAAAAATGCAAAAATCCGCTAGCAAAACGTGACCGCAGCGTCTCCGACATCCTTATCTCATTCGATAAAACAGATAGAAGTCCTCGCGAGTGCCTGCTTGGTGGACAGTCCAATGGGCAAATGAGCCTAGAGCCCGATTTCTACAGTTTCCCTGGTTCCCCCTTCTAGTTAGCCTATCTCAAACATATTTTGGAACGCCTTTGAAGAAGGGTCCTAGGGTTAGAAACGAAAACAGAAAAACTTCAATAAGGACGTTCCGACTCGGGCCTGGTGCTTTTACTTAGCACGAACGGTGAGTTAGCCGACCGGTCCCCAAGGCTCGTAGAGGAAAAACAGAGAAGACAAGAGAGCACGATACAGCGTGTACTCAAACAACGCACGTTAACGCAAGTCGTTCTCGCACAGAGGCTGAATGCATTTAAGGGGTACGCGAGAGACATAGACCGCGACAATAGGCAATTCATAATTGAACAGACAAGACTGGCCGCAGCGAGGCAGTCGCGACGCCTTTGTGTGTGCTGACACTCATCGTGAGAATAGCGGCATTCCCAACAAATGGAGAAGAGTACTTACACATAACTCATAACCCATAACTGAACTGTAACCCTAACTTTAACCTCAACTATAACCTTCCTGGAAGTCAGCGCAAGGCCTCCGAAATATGAAAATTCGTTGTCCCGTGCCTTGCCGGACTTGTTTACATTTATTTAGTAACCGGTAGTTACGAAGGGTAAACAATAGTTCAGATACTTTAAACTGCGTTGCAAAGGAGCAGGCACACGTAAAGGCGATCGAATGATAGATTACTAAAACGTGCAGGCTTGTGTCTAATCATTTTTTGACAGTCTGCTTTGAATTCTTCTGTCCAATGACTGTACAGAAATAGAAATGCTGACTAATTGGTCACGATTTTTCATGCAGCGGTTTCGGCGTTTCTTCCGCCTACGCCGCAAACCTACCGGACAAATAGATAATTTTGACTTTTGTTACCGCTTAGTGGGAAAAGTTTGTTTATTACTAAATGTTGTACTACAGTCGAAATATGGGTTCGGCCCCAGTCGGGCACTCATTTCATAGTGGCTCCTATAGCTATATCTTATAGTCTTCTAAAAGTCGGTGCAGTTTTTACCGGAGGTGCTTTTTTGCAGAACTTCGTAAAGGGGCGACCCAGTAGTACGTCCAGATGTTGTCCTGTTCGCAATATCTCTTAGCTTGGTTTCGACTGTCCGCAGAAACTACCTCTCACGGGCAAATTGCTTGGCCCATGTCGAGGTAGACCAGGCTAAACCTTCTAAAGCCTGTAGTGTGAAAGTCGTGACATTCTGCTGGTTAGAAAGACCATTCGGTGAGTTCCGTCGAGAATTTTAAAAATCTAGTCGAAGCTTTATGTATGCCACCAGTGAGTATACCTAGCACCCCAGCTGCCTCTATGCCTAGGGTCTAGTTTGATGAACGTACAGTACGGCGAGGGCCGCAAGCAAAATGCCGCAATTTGCGAAAGACTGGTAATCACTCGCAAACCAACATTAAGTGGGGTTGCGATATTGACTATCATGCAATCTAATCTCAAGTTTTTTCAGTCACGCCAAGATGCCGGTTCTTTAATGAGCTTCTTTCTGAACACTTACAAAAAGTTGTTTTTTGTAGAAAATTGCTTCTTATGGGGTTTGACTGCCTTTATAAATTTTAATATATTTTATAGAAAATATGCACGAAATTATTCTTTCTTATACTTTTTGGTAAGAAATTAGCCTTCTTTAAATTTTAAAATTAAAGAAAGCGTATTCTCCGGTTTTAGAAAAATTTCTAAGTATGAGATTTTTACGACTGTGAGGTGCGCATTCATAATATATTGTACACATCAATTTATTAATTCTGCCTACGATGTATGCAGTATGATTCCCACCTATTCCAAAATCATATAAGAATTATGCGACCTCTTCTTCAAACGGTAGGCAAACACGTTTTTCTTTAAACAGAATGTACACAGCATGGTGTTTGAAAACCTTGAATTCAGCTATAGCATTCGGTAAATTCCAAAATTATACGACAATTTAGAAATGACAAGTACAATTTTCCGTAAGGCATCGCGGCGTCAGACGGTATAATCTGCAATGCATGTGAAGGAGAATTATATTTCATCTGCGATTGCAGGCCCATCCACGTCAAGACTTCAGAACTTATTATTTATCTTTTGCCTTTATAGAAATCCTAAATCCGCCTTCTCCGGACTACCAGAGTTTGGATGCTTTGGCCAATGACAGCGAAAGACTGCGGAACCAGTTGTCACGGAATCAGTTTTTCCCCTCCGGCGTCAAGCCCCTGATCGAATCCCCCATAAAGGGTGACTATACGAGCACCAATCAACAGACGCCCACCTTCTCCAAACAGTCTGCCAGCTATGGCTGTCTCATCGACTCCGTGGAGAGTCCCTCCAGCCAACGAATGCCAACCTACCCCCTGCAGAACTACTACGAGATTACCGCCCTGAATAATAATATGGGTACACATGCGAGACAATTTCCGGCCGGTCGTAGTCCCTACCACAGCAACGTCGGTGGCAGTGGCGGCGCCTCGAGACGCTATCAGCGTAGTGCTACACTTGGCCGGTTAGGCACCATGGCCGAAGCTGAGCCGGTCGGTCGCTTCACTGACGGCGAGTGTGGCGACTTGCACCACCCAACCGCCGGGGATCTGACCTTCATATCCACCAATCGTCCCTACTCCCGCCTGCAGGCAACCCAGTCACCACCAGA